CTTAAAGTGATTATGGGAATTTTGAATTGCACTATTCGTTCGTAATTCAACTTTTGTATAAATGTGTTTTAACACTAGTTTTACGACAAAATTTTGTATTTCCACTATTTATATATTTTGACTACTAAGGGTGATATTGTTATTGAGAAATATTTTCTCTAGTATATTTTGAAGATCATAGTCGTCGTGGAGAGTTTTGAACTTATTTAATTACTGACTCTTCTCTAAAACAGACTTCGACTCATACCACAATAAAAGGCCGCAAAGAAACGAAAACGATGATTTTTGACAGAAAAAAAAACAATCGAGAAAAAAAAGAGAACCGCTATAGTTAGAGAATGTTTCTGAATCAATGTTATGTATCTTCTAATTTAAATAAAAAGAATCGAATGATTGAATTACCTCGTTAACTGAATGTTTTATTTTTTTTTTGATAATACTTCTGTTTTTATCCTGTACGGTTTTAACTATATGCTTTTAATTGTAGATAAATGTCAAGTAACAATCTTAATGTCCAATTGTAAGTGATTAAAACGTAAATTTTCATAAAAGGTATGTGTAAACTCATTGTCTCTCGGGATTCTACAAGTATGAACATATGAGAGTGAACATGATTCTGCATAATTAAGAAATTTTATTTTTATATGCCATACTTTTTGTAATATCATCTATCATTAATTCTAATTCTTTTCTTTTTATATAAAACAACTTCTTATCAATGAATAAAAAAAAATTTTCACTAAAGAATGCAAAAAAAGTTATAATTAAAATTTTCTTCTTTTTTCTTGAAATAAGGAAAATCATGATAAAGGACAAAATTTATCAAGATGTGTTGGCTTAACTATTATCAAAATATTTTTTAATATTTTAGACCTTGTTCAATGTCTTATATGTTCTAGAGTATGGATGGTGTGATTATTTTTTATCGTTAACAATTATTTACATTTATTTGATCAATTTAACAAACACATGAGTCTGTATAAATCGGGCGAAGTTTTTGCGTGTAAAACTTTTTTCTTATACCTCCTAATAAGAAAATTATTCCTAGAATAAAAACAAAAAAACACGAAAAGAGGAGAGAAGGAGAAAGTTCATTTCCCTAAAGTCTTCACTTTCAATTGTATGATTTCCAGCCCATCGATTATTTGTCCTATATAACAACTGAGAATATACTTAAAGCTAACAATTGTTTGAATAAGTGTTTTTTATTTTCGCAAAAAAAATCATTTAACCATTGCTCATCTGATAAATTTACACGTCAATATGCTGGTACAGTTATTTTGCATGCCTATAAACTGACTTCCATTCATTGTATATACACGTAAGGATGTGTAGGATAAATTGATGTGATTTTTCAGCGATTGATGTTCTATATATTTCTACTGATGGTTGAATTTCATAAAATTTTTATTAACGTGGTATATATACTGCATATCACTTCTTACAGTGGATGGTAATAGGAGGAGCACGGAGTAAAATAGATAAATGTTCTTCTTTATTATATTTTTATGTGCAAGAATAACAGATGTCAAACAACTTGAAGAAAAAACATTTATATTTAGCTAGTTCCTCACAATTAGTTTCATTATTGTTGAGTGTATTCTCTATATACCTTACTATAAATTTTTTTGTTGTTTGTTATCCAAAATGAACTTGCTGAAAATCAGATTCTCTGAAAAAAATCAGTTTTTTCTGGTAGTCTGTAGTAGTGTCAAAAGAGTTGTCCCATCAAAAGTTAATCAAAATTTCCTGAACACCGACTCTTTGCGCGAAGAATCTGACTTTAAAACTCTTCATCTCTAATACTGTCCTTCTTAACGACTCGTTTCTGGCATATACGATGCCCACCGGAAAACATGAAGGTAAAAAATGACGTACAGCCGAAGAAAAAGAAAACGAATAAAATATTATTATTGTTCAAACAAAAATTTTAAAGTAACTTATTTTCATAACGAGGAAAAGAACATAAAAAAATTCACTTTAAACATTATTCAAGCGCGTTCCGGATAATAAACAACAAAAAATTTTATGGTCAGGCATATACAGAATACACTCAACAATAACGAAAACTAATTGTGAGTAACTAGCTAAATATAAACGTTTTTTCTCGACGTAGTCAGATCGTCTGCAAGTTTTTTGTGACACCTGTTATTCTTGCACATAAAAATATAGTAAAGAAGGACGTCTATCTATTTTACTTTATGTTTCTCCTATTGCCATCTACCGTAAGGAGTGATATGCAGTATATATACCACAATAATAAAATATGAGAGACTGATATTTAAGGCGAAGATAGGTAGTTAGACTATGTGGATTGTATGCATTGATCTTGCATTATGGAGTTGAACTGAAATTTTAATGAAACTGAAAATGATGAAAAAGAAAAATGACCGTAGAATGTAAGTTAGTTGCACAGCTTGACTTAACTGAATTATTTCTCAACATATGAACTAATATCACTTTTATTTGTTCAAGTGTTGGGGATACCGAACTGTAGCTTATTTACAAAAGAAATGTAACTTACACAGACGTGCTAGTTCATTATATGAGTAATTGGCATGCGCTCCTGTGAAAACTTATTTGCTTATTTTGTATGCTTTTCCATTTTTAAGCAACACAGATTCATTGAATGAAAAATTTTAATTTAAAACAAAATGATTTTTCACTCTGTTTTCATTTAAGCTATACCTACGAAGATATTCAGAATTAAGGTCAGAGATGCATAACTCCAACTTCAGAGCTAAGCTTCTTTTGGCGGAGTTGACGTTGAATTGAGTTACATTTTGTTAGCCTGGAATTGATCTAAGAATAAATAAACCGCGATTAGACGAACAAAATTCTATTCAAAACGAGATAGTCAAGTTTTTAAAAGAGGAAACTGGAATGAGTTTACTTATTTTACAGAAACAGACACTATATCTGGTTTTAAAGAAATTAGTTCAAAAATTGGTATGCGTACTTGACACATCAGCGGTAATAGAGAAAGTGTTTCTCACAGTGACTTTCCTTTTTCGATCTCATCGATGTAGAATGACATTGACGCTTTCAAAATTAACATTGTTGAAATGTAATTATGAAGATTTTTTTTGTGAGTACGGTATTCTCATGAGCAAAAGCGAAATAAAAGACTACTTACAAAATAATAGAAAAGAAAACTTGCTTATCGGAGTTGGACTTACGAGGGAACTTTTCAAAGTGATTAAACGCTTTTTGCTCGGAATCTAGTGGGTTATAGGTTATCGAACATGCTGATTACGAATATGACCATGAGAATTGCTCTTAGCCCTTCGAAGACCTGGTTTTCTAGAAAACCAGTTTTTCAGAAACTCTAAAATATGACCCGAACCTTTCTTAATGAGGCATGATTGTAGCCCGCACATTTCTGATTGAAATGAGGCATCTCCCAGCTTTATGCGACCTTTCTTTGCAAAGTCATAGAATTTACAAGAAAAGCCCTGAATTAATCTCTTCTTATTTCTGTAGCTTTGACCTGACAATGAACATTTAGGGCTTTTGTTGTAAATTTTATAACTGTGCAAAGAAAGGTCGCATAAAGCTAAGAGATGTCTCATTTCAATTATAAATGTGCGGGCTACAATCACGCCTCACTGAGAAAGATTCGGGTTACATTTTAGTTTCTGAAAAACTGGTTTTCTAGAAAACCAGGTCTTCGAAGGGCTAAGAGCAACCCTCATGGGCATATTCGTAATCAGCATGATCGATAATCTATAACCCACTAGATTCCGAGCAAAAAGCATTTAATCACCTCGAAAGGTTCCCGCGTTAGTTGTCCATCTCTGATTTCAATAACCTTTATAGTGTGTAGTAGTGAATACCTCGGTAACCGTTGCTTATCCGAAAAGAATGAAACAGATTGAAAATGTTGTTTTATTTAGGTTGCTTAATGAATTTGCGTTACTGAAATACGGAAAAGTGTGCGAAATAAGTACATAATTTTTCATTAGATGACTTACTAATTGGTTACAAATTTTTTTTACGGAAATAACAATAATACTTATTCAGATACTTGATAGCTATACATGGAAAAAACATTTATAGCGCCTGCTATAAATAAATGCATGAAGGAGAGAAAATACAGGAAAAAACATGATTGTTCCCGAGGATTAATCAAAAGTTCATAAGTATTTTTTCATATATTAAACACGATTGTGATAATCTTGATTCTTTCAAAACATGATCCTACTTGGTAGCTCGTTTCAGTCGTTTGATTAGTACATGAGCGTTGGAAATAGCGTAAAGTTATTGTAGAACGAATGATCTATTAGTTTCAGTTGTTTATTTTTTCTTAAAATTGACATTTCTCTCTCTTTCTCTCTATTGGCAGATAACGTGTTGACGTTTATCTCTATAACTGACACTGTGTACTATATCTAATGATAATTATCATGATGATAATGCCAAACATACTCGTAATGACAACAAACGATGATTGATTGAAAAAGGGTCAGAAAACTGTAGATTGAGTTATTAGCACAAAACGAATACATGAGTCAAGGTCACCATTTTCAAACGAAATACTGACCGAAATGTATTTTGTGATATAGAAGCCATATTCATGGAAAAATCTTAGTTTGTCCTGTCAAATTTTCCTCCTGTTTCTCTCGACCGTTGTTATTTTTTAATTTGATTACGAACGCGAGGACATTGTGTATAATGGAATTAATCAATATTGATTTTAGAAACGTTTCATCTTTCCCTAGCACATCGATTGTCCTTCACTATCTCTCTTTCTCTTCTATGTTCTTCACGGATAATTTGTGTACTGGAAATGATTAGATATATATATATATATGGGAGAGAGACCCATACATGCTGTTTTACCTATATATGATGTTAAATAACGAAAACCAGTTCTTCTATTTTCTTTTGTTATAAGGAAGATGTAACATTGTTTATTTTATCTTCTTTTAGATGATGATGATGACTGATCGACCATAGACTGCAAGGTCACTACACATAACAATCCACTTCCGAAAACAATGACAACAACGGCAAAAGTTAGTCAAATGTTATCTGTACCATTAAATCGTGTTCGTTCATCGAAATTAAAACGCCAGGCATCCGTGGTTGAAGATGAAGGTGGTGGCGGTGGTGCTGATGGTGAATTAGCGATTGATCATCCTTCACGAACAACAATAACAAAAAAACGCATCTCATCTGATCATGAAAGCGGTGGTTCATCACGTTCACTGTCACCATATCTACGAGTGATTTTAGATGGTGAATCAACATCAAGTTATTTAGACGTGCCGGAAACATCTAATAATAGTCGACGTTCATCAAATAATAGTGTTGTCAGATTTAAACAGAATGACCTGTATGATTTGCGTTCCATTTTGGATATGACTTATGAAGGAGAAAATTTAGAAAAAGCAATCATTAATAATGATAAATACACCGTTAGACGAATTATCGATATACATCAAAGTAAATTTAATGTTGTTAAAGATCGTCATAGTAGTCTTCAAGGCTATGTTGGATGTGGTGGAATACCAGCTTCTCATCCTCATCAATGGGGTGGTGCAAGTTTAGCATATAAACGACAAAGTGGCACACCATCATTGACATCAAATACTGATATAATGGAAGGTGGGAGTAAAGAAGCATTCCTAGAAACAAATTCATTATCAAAAAATAATAATAATTCCGTAACTACCAATGAATGCTGTTTAACACCAGATTTTTCATGTTATGCATCAACATCACATTCAGCATTAACACAAAGAAGTGGGCCGCTAGCAGCTGCTCTTATGGCACATACATCATCAACACCAGCGCCAATTAATTTTAGTGCTACTGATAGTAGTGGCAATTGTGAACTTGAAACAGCAGCAATAACTGGCGCTCCTGATTCACCTGGTGATATACCACCAATATTTCGAAACATTTTACATGTGGCTATAATGTATGATGCTCGAGATGTTATGCGTATTTCGTTAAAATACGGTATTGATTCAAATGCACCTGGCGTACATCCTCTAATGACAGATACAATAACAAATCAGACTAATCCATCAAATTCAGGTCGTATTTCACCGGATAATCTACCACGTGCATCACCTTGCCGCAACGGTACACTCGACTATAATTCATATTATACGAATGAACGTCTTTACATGCTACCACCATTATTCTTAGCTGCACAAAGAAATAATCATTATGCCACAAATTTATTGTTACGCTACGGTGCGAATCCAAATATACGAGATGAATTGGCTTGTTCACCTCTTCACTTGGCTGCTCGTTTACAACACGATGTTTGTAATATATTAATTTCCCATCATGCATGCATAAGTACGAGAAATAAATATGGTGATTCACCATTATCTTTATGGCCAGTCGTCTACAATCTGCAAGTGGCGTTTGTTGAACGCGAATTTCGTAAATTATGTCGAAAATATTCATCGTCAAAACGTCATCGTTTTCTATCATCATCCTCCGGTAATAAAGATGAAACACATTTGACACCAGTTATACTCAGTCGGAATCTGAGTAATGAGAAATGTACAAACGGCGGCGTGAAAAATTTAAAAAGGATATTTCGTCATAGCGGTAGTGATTCATACGATTCAAAGTCGTTTAAAAAAAGTTTATCATCTCAAAGTTCAATAGGAAAATCAAAAAGAGCAGGAGGTCAACATGTGGCGATATCAGCATCAGTCGGACGCAGTGAATCAAGACAAATGTCGGAAGAACGAGAAGAGTTTCTAACGACCGATATGCCAAAATCATCGCATTCAAAACGAAAGGTATGCTATCGTTTTTTAAAAATGAAAACAAAACATGTTTACGTGTGAACTTAATAGTTCGTGTTTTCTGTTATTTGCTAAAGCTTAAAGTGAAGATCAGATTATCGACGACAATTCATGATCAGAAACTAGAATGCAGTTTATTGGATCATAAGCGAAAGTAAACTGTCTTGTTTTATCACAGAAAACTGGTTGCAGATAAAAGTCATTAAGGAATTCACCCCTCCGAAATTATCTCTGACACCCTATATTCGATCTTGACGAAACTTTCCATAAATGTTGGGTACAATGAGCTACGGGAACGAAAAAATTTTTTTGTCTCCAAGTCGTTCCGTTTAGGAGTTTTCCAGAGATCAAGGTTCAAAAAGGACCCTGAAGTGTGCCCAAGAGTTTTTAATATACTTCAAGCTGGAGAATCCGAGTTTGTTTTATTTTAAACTAGACACCTAACTATAGTTAGGTGTCTAGTTTAGCGCCGGTCAGTCCGTGTATACACGGACTGACCGGCGCCGATTTTTCAATTAAGTCTTTGTTGGTTTTCCGGACAACCAACAACCTCCAAAACCCGAAAAATCCTTCCGAGTTTCCTAAAAAGCCTCAATTTGACAAAAAATTAAGACTTAATTGAAAAATCGACGCCGATCAGTCCATGTAGTTTCTTTTTCTCTTTTAAACAAAAAAAGAATAAACTCTCTACGACAAACTGCTATTAAAAATCTTGGGAAATACTTCAGGTGTAACTTTTACATAGAGAAAACGCTGTATTAAACGTTGTATAAAATGCTCGGTTTTAGGATGTCTAGGAAAATGCCTGTAACTTTTTGATCTAAGGTTATTCAGAGTTGTACGAGGTCTTATTTTGATCAGAAGCGTTTGCTCTACAAAGCTGTGTGTTCAGAAAACTTTTAATTGCATAAATATCCAGGAAAAAGCTATTATTTGATGACCGAGTTTTTCGAGGCTTCCAGAAAACTTGCTCAGAATCCGCGAAAAACCACTTTTGTAACCAAAACCGATGCAAATTCGGAAAGTAGACACTTCAGGCTATCTTTCCATGTGCGTATCTCAAAACCGATTTTTTGACCGAAAATCATCATTCGGGTTTTCCTTAAAGATTCGAGTTTGAAATTTTGGCGAAACTATTTCGACTTTGTTTTACTATTTCTTGCGAAAATACTACGTGACAATCTTTGTTATACATTGATTGATCCTAACTCTCTAACTTCTTTCCTTCAATGAGTTTGACCATAGTTAAATATCTGAGTAAGTTAGATTAGACATACTTGTATGATGACTGTATAATAGACTATGTACCTAGTGGATTATTATGTACAATGTATTTTTTATTTTAGATTGCAACATCTCTAGCAGCCAATATCATGAATTATCATAAATCCTCTCGAAATTGTCAATCGGCCGAAGGTAAAGTAAAAAGCTAAACACTGTTTGTTGTATTAGACAAGTAAAAGATGTAGAGAAAAGAATTTTTAGATGCGAAAATACTACTGTTATTAATATTATTATTCTTAATTTCGCATGACAAATGTTGTAAGATCAGACAGTTAATCCACCATAAATAAAAAACAAAAATTAAAATTTTTTAATGTTTTTATCACCATACGAAGATGGCATATAGCAAAATTGTTTGCTGATTTGAATGATCGAAAACAGTGATATTGTAAAATTTCAACAGTTTAAACCAATGCACATTGAAATGAAATCGAATTTGAATCCATTGAAATCTTCTTGAGATACTAGAATTAGAACGTTTGATATTCTAATAAGAGATTATTCTTTTAAGATTTTTCATGTACTGTTACTTTTTTTCTCTATTGTAAAAATATGACTTGAAGAAACGTTTTGTAAAGTTGTGATTAAGGGCCTGCCCCTCAAAAATTATCTCCGACACCCTATATTCGATCTTGACGAAACTTTCCATAAATGTTGGGCACAATGAGCTACGGGAACGAAAAAATTTTTTTATCTCCAAGTCGTACGGTTTAGGAGTTTTCCAGAGATCAAGGTCCAAAAAGGTCCTTCGAGAAGGAGGGTTCGACGTTCGTACGCGATAGTTTTTCAAAACTTACCAAAATGTCAGAGAACAACCGCGACCGCAATGATATTTTTAACAAAATAGAAAGATCAATACCTTGAGTGCAAGCCTTACCGCTCATTTATGTGATAATAGTCGTAGAAGACAAAACTTTGATTGTTGAAACGGAATCTACGTACATTCTAAGCGTTAACATCAAATGCGTTAGCGTTTAAACTTTTACCAGATGAATACCTAGACTCTTATTCACGACAAGATTTTGATGTACAAAAGACTTATAGTATGATTCGACGATATTTGGCAGATATTTTTGCCTTTCTCAATTGTTTATCGTATGTCAAATCGTTTCCTTAGCTTTTTCTCACTTGATTAAATTGTGTCAATGATGTATGATTATATTAGAAAGGACGGAATGTAGATGAGTAACAAAAAAAAATATCTTACTTCTCTTTGTAAATAGTACAAGAGAGAAAGAGCATGTTACTCTAATAACAATATCAAAGCAGTGAAATCGTGAGTCAAATAGCTGCTAATATAATCCGGAAGCATAATGCTGTTCGTTTTTACACTCAGATTTACATATGCGGTAATTAGCGCCATTTTTCACATCGTTTTCAACGAGTTCGTAAACAATATTGCAAAATTTATTTAATCGATCGTCATCTTTTCTCTAACATTTCCGACATAAAAATTCTTTCTTTTTGTTGTTGTCTTCCTAAATACTTCCTATATTTGACGTTTCTTTTTTATTTTATTGTTCGATATGCGCGCGTGAATGACCTTAAATGCTGAGTTCAACACAATATGATGGGAGTGAGTGAGTGAGTAAGCAATAGTAAGAGCGAGAGAGAGAGAGAGAGAGAGAGCGGGAGAGACATTAATTCTATTTGACGGTTAAATGCACTTAGTCATGGCGCGGTGTGTGTATGTGTGTACATAATATTTGTTGTCTATATGAGTAACAATGAACATTTTTTAATTTATGATGAAACAAAAAACTTTTATCTTTTTTTTTCTTCTTCTTTCTTCTTTACCACCACCAGAAAAATGAGAATTCGTTTCTTTTTTTGTTCTGTTGTGTCTATTTAAAAGGAAGAATAATATAATAATAATCAACCTTTAACATACAATCTAATTCTTCTACTTTTGATGACTTTTCTGATTTTCATATAGGAAAGACGAAAAAAAGGACTTTTACACATCTTTGCTGTGTTGTTCATATTCACACATTTTTAACTTACAGTTATTATCTCACTCATTTTAAACAGATAATGAAAAAATATATAATGTCACCCATACTATTATTAAAAATGTAAGTTTTTAAATTTTTTTAGAGATTTTCCCTTTTTCTTTAAATACTTTAAGTAATATTGAACTAAATAATTTTTAACATATAATGTCTGCACAAGAGAAAAATACCCCTAATCCAACTTCATTATATTCTACACTTTTCTTTGTTATTCTTTCTTATAACGTCAATTTCCTATTTTCCGTCCCAAAGGCATCCTCTTTTCTAAAAAAAAACGCAGATTTTAGATTTTATAAAGTTCTTTTTTTTTTAACCAAAATAGTGATACGCCAAAATATTTTTTTAGCTGCACGTTATAGCAAATTTACAAGAGAGTGAGTGTTAAACTTTCTACTTTTTTTTCTTTTTTTGAACCATCAGATCTTCTTCGAATAACATGTAGAGATCTTTTTTGTTTATAATTATCTATATGTTTTTTATCATGTCAAAGTAGAAGTTTGACAAACTTCAATAAAATGTACATAAGAGACGTTGATCTTGTCCAGGCAATAAACGTGGTTAGTTATTATCCGTTAAATATAGGGAGATGAGATGAAAATTAGTGAGAGATGAAAATATGACCTTCTTTATCTAGGTTTATTCTATTTTATATATCTTTTACAATATTTTATGTTACTAAAATAATGTTTTTATATTTCTTAAACTGATGCTTCAAGCTTAGCTATAGAAAATGGTGGAGGAAAAAAATATTTGAGAAAAAGATCTTTAACATTGTAATTTCGTTTTACCTTGAATCTTTTGCATTGTTAGCAGCGAATCCATGATATCCTTTCTATATTATATTCATCATCTATATACACAAATAACTATTTTGAGATAATGTATTTGTGTATATGTGTATTTGTGTGTGTATGTGTGTGTGATTTTTGCCTCTAAGCGTTATTTTCATTGTTTTTCTGATTTTCTTGTACTTGAAGTTGAAAAGGTCGCCGTAGATAATGATTTTATATTTTTTTCAATAATAGAGCTTGTAATACATCCTTAAATGCTTTTTGTTTCCGGTCTAAAGTTGTGTGTGTTGTTTATAAGCTCGATTATGAATGTTATAAAAATAGATCTTTTGTTTTAATCTAGAACAAACAAAAACAAAGCCTTCCGGACCTAAATCATCTTCTTCAAATATTGCTTTAGTTTTGGAAAACTGCACCTGTTGATCTATATCCATCCCCTATTGGTTGCTTGTTTGTGAAAAAATCTCATGTGACAAAAAATGAACATGTCTATCGATCACACAAACTAGAAAAAAGAAAGAAATTGTATTTTAATGTAAAAACAACAATAACAACAACTAAAGTGATATAGGACGATTGCGTGATAATAATAAAGTAAGTGTATAAAATTGAGCAAACTTGAAATCATGCCATATAAAGAGAAGCTACGAAGAGGGAAAAGAAGAATCTATAGCAAAGAGATAGATATAGAAAAAGATCGGATGTTTCATAATACGATAGAGGTATATGTTTTTAATAATTATGATTACATGAGATTTTAATACAAATCACTCGATCTCGTGTTTTTTTTTTCTTCTTATTCTTCTTATTATTATTCTCTTCTTTACTGTTGACATACTATACAGTATATATATATATATATATATATTATATATATATATGAATAATTAACAAAAAATTGAATTATCTAACAGAAAAAAATTATATTGTGTCTGGGAAAAGAATATTGATTCGATACCTTTTTTTTAAATTTAGTATTGTATGTAAGTATTATATGTATATTAATTTTGGTAATATAAATAAATCTTATAACTATTTCAACATTTTTTTTTTATGTTCAACATATCTAGTCTTCTTCTACCAAATAATCTTGTACAAAAAATTCAAGTAGTTTTGTTCAATGATCTGATGTCTGAAGTTACATATTGTTACTTTGAATTTTCTTATTAATGAAACAAAAAATAGATTTCATTTTGGATAGAAAATAAAAAATTTCCGCATAAAAAAAAAGAAAAAACTTTTTGTGTATTCAAAAATGTTATGTTTAACGAATGAGTTGCATGCAGTTTTAAGAATAATTCATTTTTTTAACTCTAAATTTTAGATTTAATGGTAAATATCAATTCTATCGGTTAAAGATGAGAGGTGGAAGCAACACTCTGTGAGTTTTAGAATGAGACTTGTTACTTAAATGTTACTATCCTCTACTTCAGATATTCAGTTTAATTCTATTATATCGAGTGTTTCGTGAATGCTATAGAGATTGACTTTTTTGATGGGATAGATTATTTTACTTATCTGAGAGTAAATTATTGCTATTGAACGAGCACATTTAATTACCAGGTGTTCATTTTTAGGTGTCTTAACTGTGTCTCAAGTGAAAGATGTTTACCTAGATATTACTGATATTAATTTGCTTCCGGTTGTCTTGAGTCTCTTCATCTTTATTTATTAGTTTACTGATTCATGCAGACAGTTTATTTATTGGCTTCTATAAACTAGTTTTTTGATTCTTTTACCGTTTGTAAGAATAACTCCACTAAACATACAATGGATATGCCCCGGTTTGTTGTGCGAATATTTTTTTCCTTTAATTTCCTTTAATTAAACTAGTATAGAACACGCTTAAACTTACAATATCTTTTTTCGATGATACTGCCGGCAGACGTCATTCTTATACACAAACTCTATAATAAAAAGAATTGAAAGAGAAAGAGAGAAAAAGTTTAATTAATTAGTGTTTAAGTGAAAATATGAAAAAATGACTTGCACAAGAAAAATAGGCTTGTTAGCAACAGTATTTATAATTTTTTGCGTTGTATATGTATATCATTTTTAGAAGAGAACTGTACTTCTTGTTTGGAAAAATTAACGTATATGTGGATAGATAGATAGATTACAGAAATTGTCAATATTAAAAGAATAGACATAAAGTATCATCTGATATTATTGTAACAGTTGTACACGCGCATATGATTAATTATTATCTCTGAATGACTCTTATACGCCATAGAATACATGATTTACGTGACGAATGATGATCCAACGAAGTTTGAGAAACAAAATAAAACATTATTCTATTACGAGATGTTGAGTAATGAAGGTATAGTCTAACCATTGCATGTCAAAACATCTCCATGTTTATTAATAGTTTCAATAGAAAATTTACACAATTTAGTATGATAGGTTTAAAACTAGAAATTATTTATTCTAGTTGTCTTAATCATAATGTACAAGTGTATTATACTTAAAAATACAATTGTTTATGTAAATGATAATCATTTACTCTGAAAAGAATTAGTTTTCAACATGAAAAGGAATGTCAGAGTCTAAAATCGTTTACTTTTCAATCTACGTATTATGGGAAACAAAGCGTGTTTGTTTTGTTGCGGAGATAAAAGAGATATCGAAATTTTTTTGCTATGCTCTATTTATTCATCCATCCGTTTTTCTCTTCTTGTTCGAATGCTTGTCTCTGTGTGTGTATTCGCCAGAATTGCTTGATCTGTTGGATTGTAATTATCTTTTTTTTACTTTTTAGTATATGGTTAATACAAGGGAGAGAGAGAGAGAGAGAGAGGGAGGAGAGACGTAACTATTTGTTTATTAGCATGCCAAAAAGAAAAAAAACCCGTTATTTTCCATGGTCACATACCATGAACCAGTATTATGGTTAATATATCAAAGAGCGCGCGCATTCATTTTAAAAACTATTTTTATTTATCGTACCTCTCAATCTTGGAAAAGCTGACTTGTAAGATAAATATTTTGTAGTGTCTGAAGACAAGGTGTATATACATATATATATATATATATAAGCCAAGCACTCAGGTGTGTACTAATCGAAACTAACCAAGCACTCTTCTCTTTTTATGAGCTTTTATATTGATTATCACTTTCAAATAAGAGGTGCATGCATGACAGATGTCATATGATGTTGGACGGATTAACAAAAGAGGCTTATGGTGATACATTTTATATTTATTTTTTGTTATTTTATTTTTTAGCAAATGCTTTAAATGAACGACTATTGAAACGATTTAGTGAATTAAGCCGATTAGCGAACAATATCGAATGTATCGATCAACTAATGGATTTATTGCGAATGCAAAATTGTATGGACGAAATTTTACAATTAATATCACAAGCAACATCACCAACTGTACATGCTCGAATTGCTGAATTATTATACACATTACAAAATGTAAGTCAATCTCGTATAAAAATTTGCTTTTAAAGCATTCATTTTTTGAGAAAAAATTTTTTAACACTAATTATTAGCGATAATAAGTCATGTTTTATTAATATACTTTACTTTCATTATATCTCATAAGCTAAACGAAATTAATATTACTTGTTTTTTTAAAATTAAATGAATACTCGACTATACAACCAAAATGTTTTGCAAAATGACATTGAACATCTTTTAGTGGAGATGTGGAGACATCTGTAAGACATCTGGACAAAAATGTTTTAGATGACAAACTATGACATTAAAATTATCTACTTTACTAGTATTAAGTTCAAACTAGGATAAATTACAATATGTTGTATGGAAACATTTGTCTTATTGAGATTGTTTCGAGACCAAATATCAAACAGAAAATATCAATTTATATTATCTTCAAATCCTAAACGGCTACGTTTATACCATTTTTGAGTAGAAATGCATAGTACACTTTATAATTTAAGTGTTTTTCTAACATTTTTTTATATCTGTTTTGTAATAGTGAGGGCACGTAGTGTTATATGATAAGAATAGAGAAAATATTGTGGTGAACTAACGGGAACCTTGACAATTTTAGGTAAAAAAACAAATATGCTATGTATCAGATATACAAATTTGCATTTTTTTTAATGAGCTCTACCATTTTTACGCTCAATGAAGCACGTATGGATGTTTTTAAGATTTTTTTTTTTTTTTATGTTTTTTGGAAGGTAAAAATATCTGAAAATTATTGCATATTTTGATTAAGAAAATGTTCAATAATCGGCGACGATAGCATGACCTTAATGCAAATGTAAGTAAGTTAACATCATATGTGTACCATATGGTGACATATGGATTGTGTTTATTAAGCAAGGTCAATCAGTTATTTGGTCAAATAATAGAAAGTATGCAGTCATCAGTAAATAATGATATAAGAAAAAAAACAATAACTTATAGTGTCTCGTATAAGTCTTCTGTATTCTTAGATGTAATGAGTGAACTCATCCCATTAATGATAAGATCATAAATTAATTTAATATATAACTTAAGAGATCATCAGACAAAGCATTGAGTCTGCAAGAATTGTAGGTACAAACATAATATCCATGTTTTTATCTATTCGAAAATCTATGATCAAATGATTCTAATTTTTTGTTTTCAAATCAATAATACCACCTCCATCATATATGTCAGTGATATTTGCATCTATCAGAGTGTCTATACACAGTGGGCCGTCATCATTGTATGCATTTTTCTGGATAGTTTACTATAGAAAAGAAATTAGTAGAAGAAACTTCATGCTGTTTTGAAGTCTATGATTCAAATAGATATTTCAGTTACTAAGTTCATCAACTAATTAGATCTTGTTAATATGACAAACATAAAAGAAAAATGTTATGGAGGTGTATTGAAGGTTAAAGCTATTTATTGTAATAAAGCAATCTATCCTTGATGACAAGTTTTTTTTTCTTACTTAAATTAGCCAAATCAAGACTTTTTACCATTCGACTTTTTTTTGTTTTTTCTTTACATTTCCGTTTTACTTAACAAATTCTTAAGATATTTAAAAGTTTATTTTGAGACATTTGTGAAATTTTTAATAATTAATTTTTTTCATAACAATTTTAATAATAATTTCACGAATTAACATCTTCTTACAACAAAAAAAATTTTGATTATTAGTCAATCTCATTATTGAATAGCGAACTATTCCTTTAAACCTCTTCTTTTTTAGCGTTAAACATCATCAAAATGACAACGGTAATATATTTTTTTCTCGATCTAAATTTATATAGACTATAACAATTTTTATTTTCTCTAATACAATCAAACGGCTCTATGTTTTGACACTCGTTCGTATAAAAAATCAAATTATTAGAGAAAACTCAGAAATTTGTTTAAGTTACATAAAAACCACACATATACATGTTGTCAATACATTTGTATGACAAAATTATCACATACTTTTTATCATTAAAAAAAGAAAAGAAAAGAAAAGAAGTTAAATCTATCGTTATGTTCATCGGAAAAAGTTATGCTGACTTAAAATTAATGACCTCATTTGATTATTTATCAAATTAAACAACATGAACCACAAATTGTATAGCTACTTAAAGTGGTCGTCGTCCCATAGTGAAGTCAATTAAATTAACAAATTTCAATCTTTTTGTTTAGAAAAAAAAAAAAAATGTTGATTTGTTTTATGAATAGTTTCATTGAATCAATAAAAAAAAAAAAAAAAATGTTTTTTTTATTGATCTTGATTTCTCTAGATAAATGGATATTTTTTAAAAATAATTAGACAAGTTAAGTTGACACTCGTGCAATATTAAATTTTTTATTAATAATACTAATTTTAAAATTATATTACTAAAATGATTTGGTTGTCGATATAAACATATAATTGATTATCATTTATGCTATATTCCATCGTTAAGACTAATAATTATTTTATGCGTAAAAGAAAATCCGAATAAACGAATGCGAGAATATTCTTCTTCTTTTATTTTTTTAATTCTGTCAATCATGTTTCTACATGTTTATAATACATGGTGATTAGCTAATATCATAACACTTAGAATTTCTTTCTTTGTTCTAACAATCTTTTTCTTTTTCTTTCTTCTCTATCTCTCTTAGAAAAATAAAGAAATTTTTTCTGTTTTTTTTTTTCTTCTTCTTCTTTATAACTGGAATACTGATGAGAATTCTTCTCAATCTTGATTGATTTTCTCTATTAATGAATAAGACATTGAATATATTCTAGATAGACAATAATAATTATTAATAAGATTTTCATTCAAATTTTTCGCTTCTCTATGTATATAATGGAAAATAAAACTTCTTAGTATCCCACCGCTGACAATTATTGATACCTTTTTTTTTTTTTATTTATTTTTTGTATTTTTTTTCTAACAAAAGAAAAGAAAGTTGTATGCACATTGTTAGTAACGGAACACTTAATTTTAGCCATAGGAATAAAGAGAGAGAGTTATTTATAACTATCTCAATCCATTTCGACATTGACATGATAGGCCTACTTTTTTCTTTTTTGTATAATGCCACAATAGCGTGAATTTTGATGTAGATAAAGTCTTCATTTATCAGATTTGGAAGAGAAGATGGGAGGAGAGAGAAAGCGAACTGTGAAACTTGTCTGAAAATATCTTTATAAAAAATTTTTTATACTTAATATTAGTGTCAAGAGTCGACAAACTGTGAATAAATATAAAGAATTTTGATTATTTTTCACTATTCTTTTGTTTTTATCTAAAATGACATGGGACTTATATAGCAAAGGTATCAAATTTGATAGATTAACATCATCTTTTACTCACAATACAATAGTCAAAGTGTATGGGAATACAGTGTCATATGATCATTGTTAATTTGGTCAAGATGTCTTCATTATATATTTATTTGTTCCGCAGAGAGATTGTTTTTGATCCATATCTGTATACAAATATACGGGGTAGTGATGTGGTCTAATGATCTAAATTTCCATATTTACGTTGGTGATATATTCATGTTACAACATCACCAGCTTGATCTTGTATAGTTCTCGAGTTTTTTATTTTTTTTATTTCTTAATGTGCATGAAAATGTCACCGAAAAAAAAAAAACAAAAAAAAAGAAGAAAAGATTTCTCTTTTCTGGGATGAGCATGCACACGCACACACTAGAACTACAGAGTTATTATATGTACAATTCATTCATTCATTTAAACTATAGACATTTTTTTTTATTAACTTTGATATAAATGTTCCTTAGGGAGATAAGACAAAGAAAAAGAAGAGAAAAACGTATTTACAAGATGTTTGGTTTAGTAACAATTACATTTGACAAACGACTAAATGGGATTTCAACTTTTTCTTTTTTGCTGTTGTATATCTATCAGTAATAACTAGGTGTCAAAATCAATGTTACACAAAAATTATTTTCTTCTCTTCTGTAGAAGAGAAACTATAAGTAAAAAAATACAAAAATCATTCTACATTTTTTTTCTTCGCTACATTGATAGATAACAACACAATATACGTATTTTTGTTGTTGTTGTTTTTTTTGTTTTTCAGAGCAATATTAGTCTATGTACTACTAAATGTAGTGTGGAATGTATTACAAAAAAGAGTTTAAGTTTTTTTTTTTAAAACATCATCTCTGATTCGCTCTCTCATAGATAATGTTCGACGAAAAAAATATTTTTTTGATCATTTCTGATCTAAACAAAAAATAGATATGAGAAAAAGAGACAGAAGAATACAAAATAATATTAAACATATATTAGTGAAAATTTCTATGTCTCTTTACAATATAGATTATGTTTGAAAGACAATTTCTAATTGATTTTATTGACGTTACAAATATTAGAACATATGAATAAACAGGTTTGTTAATGTTCGTTTTCAAACTGTTAAGTTGATTATTATTAGTGTATCATCATACATACTACTATCCATAATTACTCTTTCTCCCTCCTTGTCACCAGAAAAAAGCTTAACATTGAAGCAGACTTTGTCATAGTAGAAGAAATGAATCTTCAATAGGGAATTCTATATACTCTAAGATCAATAATAATAATAATAATTAGTAAAGTTCGTTCTTTCTACACAATGATATTTTTGTGATTCTGATTTGATGAATCGTTATGTTACATTTGATAGTAAACGAAAACTATATTTTTTCTACTACAATACAATAGGTATTTGTTATAAAGTAAACTGATTAGATAAAATCTCTTTAGGAAAAGATTCATTTTTTCATCCAAAATTCGCCTGTTTTGAATATTTCATGTATCTATTTCTACTGTACTTACACAAAACAGAAGACTTGTAGATTACTTGAAAAAAAAAATCTATTATTTTAATTTATGAATTTCATTTTTATTTATTTAGACTTCATATCAAGAATTTTTACGTAATCATGATAAACGTGATTATGTTGAAAAATTTCAACAACATACTAAAAAACTATTGGATATATCGCTTGAATTATTTGCAAGTGATTTACCTAATATGCAATATTTAGCATTATTAACAATAAATAGATTGTACGATGTCTATGTATATCATAATCTTATTAATCCGGGACGTTATAATGCTTGTTATATTCCACAATCTCGGCGAACATTATTTATGTCATCAACTCAAATGAATAATCATGATGATACAAGTAAATCAGATACAAATCGTTTACCTAAAACATCGACATTATCAAATATTTTAAGAAAAATATCACGTGATACTGATGAAAAACGATCAGCAACAACAGTTGGAAAAGGACAAACACCGTCACCATCAGGTCCAGGACCGGGTGGTGGTGGTAGTTCTAAAGAACTTACACGTGATATGTCAAGTAATTCATCAACATCAAAACGCTGGGTACCACTATATAATAAACAAACAAGTACAAATACAAATGATGATTATTTTTCACCTAAAACATCGATGACATCTGAACTTGGTAGTAGTGCTAGTGGTAATGTGGGAATAAATTCAACACCACAACAAACATCAAAACCAAATATATTTAATAATTCAAATTCAAATATAGAAAATACAACTTATACATATGAACCATTTTCCGTACTATATCAAATAGAACCGATTCATTTACTACGTATTATGCGTACACGTTTAGAAGCACATAGAAAAGAATTTAATAATCGTCCAAAATGTGTTCCATCAACACGTTCACCATTATGCACACATCATTGCGTTGTTATATTAGCGGCAAGAATTTTGACAATTCTATGTCAAGATCAAACATTTCAAACAAAATTTATATCATCAAAAGATAATTTAAATATTATTATTGAAATGTTAAATATAAATAATGATCCGGTAAGTTCGCTATCTTTTTCAAAAACTTTTAGATTTATATAAAATGAATACATGATCATCATACAACTATTTTGAATTGAGATCTCAAAATGCTCTCTCGTCTCGGATACAATAAATATTAAACAAGACTGACTTTTTTGAATCTTAAATGTACACGATAATAATGATAAGCGAATATTTGTATATAGTTTTAGAGAAGTGTGAATAACTATGATTAGATAAAAAGTAGTGAATCCTACAAAATTTTGAAAATATTTTATGCTAAAACACCATAAGGTCTTTTGATAAATAGAGATTTTTCGAGGCTAGTCTTAATTCACATGAATAAAAATATTTTATATTCTATTTAACTAATTGATTTTTTATATCATCCCATCTTCGAGCGTCACAATGGTTAGATTGAAAAATCTATTTAGAATGTGTGTATATAAGATAAAAAGAAAATATTCAATTAAAAAATGAACTTATCTTCTCATCTTTACTACCGTCAATAATTCTAAAATAATGTTCACTACTCAATCTGACAATCTTTGATATAGATTCAACCGTCTTCGATCTCAGATTCATATCAAATAACTACTATGCATAGTGTAAACGGCGTAAAAAACACCTTATAATACAAAAAAAGTGGAATTGTATTAGCATTTGAATTTCTTTCTTCATTCTCGTAAGTACAATTATCATCATTCGATCTCTCAATTATCAAAAAAATATCAACATCATCTGTATAAATTTGTTTTTCTTATATAATAATTCTAATTCTCTTTTTATGCAAATAACGAGTATGAAAACGGCGACAAAAAAAGAAAAAAGCGAGAGAAAATTCAACGAGACAAAATATTTTTCTTTTTTTTTTTGTTGTTAAAAAATCCCAAATGAACAAAAATTTATATCTAAGAAAAAACTTTAATGGTATTTATTAGCCTACACATGTTATAAAATCTTAATCTATCTGTATTCAAGCAATTTTTCTATTTATTATATTCAATATATATTTATTGAAAAGAAAAAAATGTTTTGTATTTCATGTTTATACTAACAAAGAAATACACATTAATGCAACTAATCTATATCCTTTTCTCTATAGGAAAGTTCTTTTTAGTTCATACTATATGATAGAAATATTTAATAATGTTCTAGTTCAACAATATTCTTTCACATGAGTCATCATGTGTTATTAATTTAATTAAATTCAATACGGCAATAATTTTTCAATCATTTAATCTGTATTCATTATGAGAAGGCGAAGCAGAAGAAAAAAAAAACATATTTAAGGTTTAAATTTTTTTTTGTTTTGTTTTTAAATAGCACTTGATATGTCTTATACTACAAACACTTGGTGTTGTTGCATTAAATCCCGATTGTCATGATTCATTACAAACAGCTGATATACCCGATACCGTTCTTCATCTTATATTACCTGCTGATGAAATGTTTTATACAAATCAAACAACAAAATTTGCTAGATATGTCAAACATTTAGGTAATAATTGTATTTATTTTTTATTTTTTTGTTTAATTGTTTTTAAAAATCTATTGTAGGTGCTCGTGTACTTGTTTATATGGGATTATTAACAAAAGTTAGTAATAAAGTAAATTTATTTGATATTCTTGAATTAGAACCAGAACCATTAGATTGTGACAAACCTCAAAGTTTTGAAAATAATTTTATTCATCACATGGCCATTGGAGAAAATTGTGTTGGTACACTGTGGACTTCATTTGCTGGTATATCAATAGAAAAATTACTAGATGAACTATTAAAGGTAAAAATGATTCGTTTTTTTATATCACATTTCTCAAATGTTGTTATTCTTCATTATTTAGAATGCCACAAATCAAAAAAGTAGCCGATTACAAACGTCAACATCACAAGACACCAACATTCCAACAACGAGTACCACCTCTTCAATTATTAATTCATCTAATGAAAATTTACTCTATAATTTATCATATCTTTCAGCGGTTATTCATCCGGTAATTATATTGAGATTACTTGAACATCGTTTATTTACACCATTATTTAAAAAGAAATCAACTGCTGCATCAACAAAACCTGAAACACCCACGGATTCTAAAATGCAATTTAATATTGTTACAACGCCAATACAATTGACGGGTGCATCGGCATTAGCATCTATACCCACTTTACCTCGTCCAGTTGCATCATTTAAAAAACAGCGACCATCTGTTACGAAAGATCCACCATCGGGTGGAAATGATCGTGTATCATTATTAAATAAATTAACACAGCCAACGTCTGATAAACGAAAAGTATTGAAAATGAACAATAGTAAAAATATTCCACCAGTGAATTCTTCTTCATCTACAATACCGTCCACAACAGCACTAGCAACACTACCATTATCACCAGCAGTGGGCACAATAACAACAGCGAACAATGACTTGTTATTAATTGAAGAACGACGAGATGTCATTAAACCAATTAAATTTGATTTTAGTCGTAAATGGTTTTGGCGTAATTCTGATAGATCAAATCAACTTCTTACTGCTAATACAAGTGATCGAAATCCATTATTACAATCAATTGTTGAGAACGATACATCAACATCATCGTCTCATCCACTTGGAAAAGACATGAAATTATTAGAAAAAGAATTATTAAATTTACCAACATTCCAATTAAGTGACAGTCAAAATCCTCTATTACCAAGTCCAATTTGTTTAAGTTATGATTTTGCCACACATTTTGAAAATGATTCGATATCACCAGGAAACTTTTCAGATGTTGTTCTAACTAAGCAACAAAATAAACGTTTACCAGCTACTATACCCAATGGTATAATTACGTATGGAAATCGAATTATTGATGAAGGTAATTCATTGTTGAATATTTTATATTCTACTATTTTGTTCACTTCGAGAGAAGAATATAGTTTTTAATAATTTTTCTCTTTCTTCACTTTATTTAATGATATATTTTTATTTTTCTACAGTTACATTACCATCATCTCATCAAGATGTCAATTATCTTAATCCACCAACAACTACACTAAATGTTCCATTTGTTGAAGTACGCACACCATCTGATGATAGCAATCGTTCAAGTTTCAATGGTGGTTCATCAAGAAATTCGAACGGTTCTGTCGATATCAATAATCATTCACAACGTTCATCATCTAAAATGTCTGTACGTGAAACAGTTAAAAATATATTTCGTTCATCAAAAACTGTGGATAATATTCAACAGACAAATAATAATTCTCCTCATACGCATGAAAGTGAAATATTTAGTATGCCATCAAAATCATCGTTAAATAATGGACAATCATCACATTTAGCTAAATCATTATCACAACCAATAACAATATTCGATGATCAATCAAAATTAACTGATTCTCCATTAATCAATCATAGTGAACATACGCCGTTAATTGTTCGAAAGTCAACGTGTAAATTAGAAACTGTACCAAAAAATTCTCAAAAATCATCGTTTGAAACAAATTTAAAACGTTTTCGTTTAAATCGTACAGGTTTACGTTTACCATTAAATTCGGATTCACTTCATCGTAGTCATTCTTGTACAGTTGGTATTATTAATACACAAAAACAACAACAACAACAGCAACAACAGAACAAACAGACACTACTGATAGATAGTGATAATACTAACAAACAACATGGTACAAATATAATTATCAAAAGTTTAGCTAGTTTATTTGAACAAACTCCAATAACAACAACAACATGTGATAATATTAACGGTTATTTAAATACGGGAGAAATATGTTCATTGCGTTCGTCAGATAGCACAACTTCATCAATATCTGGTTATTTATCACCGAGACCACGTAAAGGAGAAGGAGGAGGTGGAATAACATGTTTAAATGAACTAATTGGTGGAATAAATAATACTAATGATCATAAGTCAAGTGAATCGTTATTTAGTTTTTCATCTCCAACACACAAAGAAAATTTATCAAAATCTTTTATAATAACATCAACAAAAAATGATACAACAAAACAAGGAAATGAAGTTTTATATCTCATTGCAAGTTGGGTATTACGATCACCAGAAGATTTTCAAGGTTTGAATTTTATTCAAAAAAATAAGTATTTGATTGAAATTATTTTATGTGTCTTTTCTTTTATTATAGATTATCTTGTTCAAAAAGAACTTCGTAGTTTTTTTGCATTGTTAGAATCGTTACGTGATTCATTTCGTAGTTGGACTGATCAGATTAAAGAGTTAGTACCATTATATGTCGAGGTAAAAATATTTATCTGTTGATATTGAAAAACATTCTTGTTTTAACTAAAATTATGTTATCATTCTAGGATATTGAATCACCATCTTGTAGTGAAATTGATGTAAGCAACGAAAGTATCTATCGAGAATATGCCAAGGTATATTAAAATCAAGGTAGATAAATACATCCTTAGTACATGTTAAAATTATTTTCAGATGCAACGTGATATCGTATCTGGCAGACTCATTTGTTCAAAAGAAGAAGCAGCAGCATTGGCAGCATTACAACTTCGTCTTGAAACATGGCCTGATGAAAATTTAGAATTAAGTGATGGTATGTCTATTTTTTTTCTAATTAGAAAAAAAAATAAAGAATCTGACATTTCCTTTTGCCGTTTAGATGATGAATTACATACGCATGTAAATACACTGAGTTTATCATTAAATTCACCATCATCATTAACAACAACAACAGCAACGCTAGGAGGAGGAGTATTAGCACCATGGCGAAATCGACATCGTCGTGGATTATTAAAATTACGTTTAACAAACATTCCATGTTGTAAACGAACTGATTCACAAAATTCACAAAATCGATCAAAATTACCATTTCTTCCACCAGAATATGTTGATAGTACAGAAATAATGAAATTAATTAAAGTATGTATATTTAAATAAAGTGTTCTAATTCAAATTAAATGTATTCCATTTTATAATCATATTCATATAGGACAAACAACGTAAATTATTTCATATAAATGACTATGATAATCCAACGAGATTAAAAGAATGTTATGTACGATTATGTCGAAATTTGGCAGCATACAATGCAGAAATTTATGATGTCAAAGAAACACTTGGAAAAAGATCGAAAAGAAAGGTTAGTCAATAAAACATTTTCTAATTATTACTGAACATTGTAACGTATGGAGTTGAGTCAAAGATTAAATAGAGTCAACATTATTTTACTTGGATCTTTTTTATATAGTCCAGTTCTTCGAAATATCCATCCTTTATTTCAATTTCGTGCTGAAAAACAGCTATTTTGATTAAACTTCAAGATAGAAAAATACTAGATGAGAAATTTTTTTAACATTCTTTTTTAGTGATCAATGAAAATAAATTAGCTCTACTTTGTACTTAATTTGAGCTGCGTCTATGAAAAAGAAAACAAAAATATTTGTATGACGACTAATGCACTTGTTCAAAGACTCGAAAACCCGCTTTCGGATATTGAAGTTTATTCTCCCATGGAAGCACGTTCCTCATTTTATCTATTAAATGGCGAAAACCGAATATCTTCTATCTCCTTTCTGTCAAAACGTTATTCTGCAATTGAGAACGTTTTCTGCATTGTACTTTAAAATGAATATTTAGCTAAAATGATGTCACATTAAATTATTTTCTTCTAGGCTAATCGAATATTGACAATTCGTCCCGATAAAGTTTGTCTACTAGATATTAAAACAAAAATTCTACAAAAAGAACAGCGTATTGCTGACTTAGAACATTGGATAACAAGTGGTCATCATCAAAATGCTGGTACTAATGAGTTAGTATTGGAATATCGTAATAAAACAAAATGGAAATTACAATTGGCTAGTACAACAGATTTACGAGCAATTACCGTTTATCTATGGAAAATAGTTAATATTGAAGGATTTGCCTTGTTAGATATACCAATTAATATTCCTATGAGATATCAAAAAAAACAATTACAACAACAACAACAGCAACAACAACAAAGTGGTAGTAGAAAAATGACATTATTACCACCAAATATCAAATCAAATAAAAATCCTTATCAACAAATTAAAGATTATTATCGTACGTCATCATCAAATAGTTTATTTTCTACAACAAAAAAGACTTCCACAAGACCAACAACAACGGAACATTTAAAAAATCTTACAAATCTTATGACAACAACAAATTCTACAACAATATCGGGACTTGTCACAAATTCTGTTTTTCTAACATCAGATAATACTCAACAATTATGTTTTTCAGCTGATTTAGAAGAATTAAAAGATTTATTTGATTTTCCAGAAGAAGTTGCACTTCGTTTAACAGAAATTGAACATGAAATATTTTTAAGTGTACCACCCTTACAATATCTTCGACATTTAACATTGGATATTAGTTTATTGCCATCGACCACTCAAGAATCATCTACACAAGAAAAAAATATTCGAATATTAGTACAACGATTTCATGCTGTTGGTTCATTTATTCAACAATTAATTGTTTCACAAACAAGTTTTCATGAACGAAAAGCGATTGTTGCTTCTATTGTTCGATGTGCAATAACATGTTGGTATTTGGGTAATTTCAATGGTGCTATGGAAATTTTAGCCGGTTTAAAGTAATTATCATATTCTTTTTATCATATTTTTTAACTCATTTTTGTCTTTTTTTCATTATTTATAGAATTGAAGCATTTCGCCCATTATGGTTAACTATTACTGACGAAGTACCAAGTTTTAAATTTTTAACTGAAGCATTTAATTCAAATGAGAAAACATCACAATATTGTGATGCTGTTAGTCGTGCATTAGATATACCAACATGTAAAGTTGTACCATTTTTTGGCACATTTTTAAAAGATTTACGTTCAATATTATCAAGTGTACCAAGTATTGTTGTCTTATGTAATAAAAATACTCAAAAACCCATTGAAGTAAGTTTTAAAAATCATAAAATAATATATAGATTTTTTATTATCTTCAATATATAATAAAATTTAGAGTGTTGCTGATTTTCAAAATCAAGAACATTTTTTAACACGTATTGGTGTCGGTGGTCTAATTAATACAAGAAAAATTGAATTGGTTCATATGGTATTAAAAGATATTGCCATGTTTCATAATCGTCATCGACGACAACCACTATTTAAATGTTGTAATGATAATAATCGAATGAAATCTATGTTTCAAGGTGTGCCTACAGATTTAAAAGAAAAACATTCAGCAACAATAACAACAACAGAAGGACTTGCTGAAAATCGGTAGGTAGAAATATTTATTATTTGTTTAAGCACATGTTTATCAGATCCACTATGATCGATAATCTGTAACAAAATATCAACAAATTTTTTTAACAATTTTTAAAGTAAAATGTATTAAACAAAATCAAAAATTTATTTTGCATTTTTCTTAATAACAGAAATAAGTTTTGAACTAATGAATGCTAAAATTAAATATCATAAAAATAAATTTATATTGAATAAAAGTTGTTTCTTAATTATTAAAATAGAATACAACAACAACAACAACAATATCGATATAATCGTCATCAATCATTTCCATGTACAAATAATTATGGTGATATTGATCATAATTGTGTACCAAATATTGCCATTAAAGTAATATCTGATAATGATAATAATAATCAAGTGAATCAAGCAAATGCGGCATTACCATATCGAACAACACTCGATTTATATGAACCGGAAACACTCTATTGTTTAAATGTTTCATTTTATCAACCAATTATGACTCAAAAACATAATCATGATGTATCACTATTATCATTACATCATATTATTGATTTTAATAATTTACAAATCTTACGGTATGTTTAAAAAAATAGAAAAAAAATCTTTTTTTTAGTCTATACTATATCGTTCATTTTATGTTTTATTCTAGACATGGTACCACATTAATATTGTATGATGAAGAATCAATGCATTCGTGTCTTGTGTCTGTTCGTTTAGAATTAGATAATTGTACATTAACATGGACTAAACCCTCATGGGACAGACATCATAGCGTAGAAAATATTAATGCACAAAATCCAATAACAAATGATAGAACACATTTTTCATTATTAATGAAACGTTATATTTTAAGAGATATTGCTTGTGTTGATATGGAAGAATCTTATCCATCATCTGGTTTTTTACAATTAAAATATGTTAAACATATTCGTTGTGGTATACTTAATTGTGATCTTGTCTCAGTTATTAAACGACATAAATTAAATGATATAACAAATCAAGAAAATTGTTTTACAATTATTTATGGTTCAACAATCAATGAAAATAAGTATGTTATTATTAGAATTTTAATTATAAAAAAAAATGAATATATTTTCATTTTGTTTATTTATTTTTCTTTTTTCCTTTATTTTTTCAGAAGTCTATGTTTTATTAGTCCTAAACATTGTTCTCAAATATGGTATTCAAGTATTGAAAAATTATTATTTCAATATCGTTATCATCGTTTATGTTCTGATCGTCGTATTCAATGGTTAAAAGTTCAATATTTATCATTATATTATGAAAATGAACGATTTCAAGGTCCAACACCTATGGAAGCTGTTTTAGTATTTGGTGGTCGACAATGGAATTCAAGTTCATTATTTTCATTTGAACGTGGTGATCATCCTGGTGTAACAAAAAAAATGAGTACAATTAAATCATTATCAAATTTAGGTTTAAGAAAACGAAATAATAAAAATGAACAATTAATTAAAACAAGTTTTTCAACTGAATCTGATCCAACAACAACAGCTGCATGGCAAAATAATAATTCATTAACTACACGTAATAAATCTAAAACACTTGATTATAAAACAAAACCATCTATTTTAGCCGTAGGATGTAAACAACGTACACAACAATATTATCATCCTTCAAGTCCAAAACATCGTCATAGTAAAATAACAAATTCTATTAATGCATTAACAACAAGTGTTGGTGGAAAACGTATGGGTGGACGAATGACATTAACAAATCAATTAGGAAATGATAGTTATACATCACCATGGATTATTAATGAAACATATATGGATTTTGCTGAATTTGTTGAATTATTTAAATCATTTTATTTTCATTGTCGACGAGATTTAAAAGATTTATTTGATAAATTTTCATGTTATTTAAATATTGATCAAGATTTTACAATTAAAGAACAATATAAAAATGATTTAATCGATGTACCAAGACATTTATCTGGTTTAATTACACGAAATATTGTTGATGATATAACTGATCAAAGTATTCATCGTATTTATGATATGATTGCTATATCATCAATACCATGTTATGCTGTTAGTACTGATAGTAAAGCAAATTATTTAATAACAAAAGAACAATTTAAAGAATTTCTTTTTGAACATCAAAAAGAAACAAAAACAAATTATGAACTTGAACAAATTATATTGGTATGAAATATATAACACACTAATTATGATCATTTTTCAATTGATTTTTTTTTTTTTGATTTTTTCTAGCGTCATGAACCAAATAGACAAAATCGTATCAATAAAGTGTTCTCATTCGAAGGATTTGCCAAATATTTAATGGATAAAGAAAATTATGCATTTGTTAATGAACATACAAAAGTGAACGAACAAGTAAGATGTTGTTAACAAAAAAAAAATGATTAATAAATAATTCATTTTTTTGATTATTTATATAGGAAATGGATAATCCATTATCATACTATTTCATTGCTTCATCACATAACACTTATTTAACTGGTAATAAATAAACTTCAATGATAATTAGTCATTTTTGTTTTTGACATTCTTTATTTTCTATAGGACATCAATTACGTGGTGAATCATCGATTGAAATGTATAGAGAAGTAAGAAAACAAAAAATAATAATCATCTTTTACACAAAAATCTTTTTCTTTTCTAATTTTAAATTTAAATAATTTTCTAGGTATTGTTATCGGGATGTCGTTGTGTTGAACTCGATTGTTGGGATGGAGAAGATGGATCACCAGTTATTTATCATGGTCGTACATTTGTTAGTAAAATTTCATTTAAAGTAAGATATAGAAAAATTTTATTCTTTAGAATAAAAGATTATGAAAATGAAAGATATTTTATTTTTTCAGCGTGTCGTCGAAGTTATTAATGAAAGTGCCTTTGTTACATCTCACTATCCGGTTATATTATCGATAGAAAATCGATGTTCACTTATTCAACAAGGACGAATGGCACAAATATTTTTGGTAAGATACATTATTGTAATATAGATATAAATATATATAACATAAATTTTATTTTCAAGAGTATATTTGGCGATAAATTGGTGACAAAATATATGTTTGATACAGATTTATTTGAAGATCCAATGTTACCATCACCAAATCAATTAAAACATAAAATTTTAATTAAAAATAAAAAAGTAAATAAAATGCATTCGACAACACAATTAAGTAAACAAAAATTACAATTAGCCGTTGGTCCATATCGAAATTCGAGTGGACCCGATGATATTGATATAGATGATGAAGATGAAGATGAAGATGAAGAATATCAAGATGAAATGTTTGAAATAATGAGAAGTAATTCAATGACAGATTCTCCAATGTATGGTTTGAAAAAGGATAATGATGGATCAGAATTAGATGAACTGTATGAAATATTAAACTTTAATATTATAAACAATTCTGTGATTTATATGTTCATTTAGTCGATATAATCGTCGGTATAGTATATTGACATCATCAGATCCAGCAGCACGACAACGTTTAAAAAGTAATAGTAGTATTGATAATCAAAAGAAAGCAATAATTAAAACATTAGTTGCTAAAGAATTATCGGATATTGTTATTTATACACAAGCTGTTAAATTTCGTGGTATGTATATAAGAAAGAAAAACAAAACTATTATCAAAATAGAAAATTTTTTTCTCTTATCATTAATTTACATTAAGGTTTAAATTATTCATCCAATACAAATTCTGTTTATATTGTTAAAACTGCTGTACGAAAAGGGCCTAGACGTCAAATACAACAAGGATTGGTAGCACAACCAAGTATAAGTAGTTCCGGTAACACATTCTTCGCTTATAGTTATATGTTATTTTTCCTTTTCCATAAACTTTATATGCACGATTGTGTCCCTTCTGCTCATATCACACCATATCTATCTTATAATTATATTTAAATTATAAAAATTATTACGCGCAACCTTCCTCAAATAAAATACTCTTTGACAAAAGTCACTAATCAAAAATAATGATCACTTTTAGGTACTGAAAGTTCTCGTTCTATTGATCAAGTTGCACCATGTCATCAAATTGTCTCATTAATTGAAAATAAAGCAAAAAAATTATGTAAAAATTCAGCAATGGAGATGATTGCGTAAGTTAATGTCGTTCTATACATAGGCATGTATGATACGATCGTTTTCTTCTTTTAGTCATACGGAAAATCAATTGATTCGATGTTATCCAAGTGGATTTCGTGTTGATTCATCAAATTTTAATCCTTTAAGTTTATGGACATGTGGGATTCAGTTGGCAGCTACAAATTACCAAACTATGGGTGGGTGTAAACAACTCGTCATTCTTAATTGTCATCTTGTATATTTTGTGATTTTTAAAATATATTATTCACAGAAAAAATTAAAAAGTCAACTATTATTATTAGTATATTGTCTTTGCATGTATTTTGTTGTGTGTAATGCTTTATTATTATTATATGCTTCTGCTTCATTATCGGTGAGTGTCATTCAACATTTTTCCATTATTGCGTGCTCTATAGTTCATTTTTTTCTCCTTTGCATGATAAGATATATATTTTAAAGATTATGAATCAGTTCTTCTATTGGTTAAATTCCCTGAAATAAGTTTATTCAGGAACAGTCTTCTGTCACAATGAAAAGAAAAATCAAATTTTGTCTGTCATTTATTTTTGAATTCATCCATTTTACACGCATTTTATCATGAATATTTGACTGGAATGCACGATTTATCTAATTTTCGATAAAAAGCTATGAAATTTAAAACAAAAAAAAAAAATTCGCGATTTATCTGCAAACATTTGGGCAGAACTACAACTTCAAGATAAAAGTTGAATTATCATATGCAGATTTTTGCGCAATATCTAAATTATATCCAAGAGGAAAACAAAAAAATAGATATGAATGGTGACAGGAGACTGACGATCATTAAATTCAACAAGATCATATAATTATCTGATTCTGAAGATAATAAATTTTGTTAAACGTGACTATAAGATTAATTATCGTAATCTGAAGTTTTCAATTCTTGAAAATCTAAGATTTCGACATTCTTTCTCGACATTGTGGTGTATGGAAATTAGTAAACTTGTAATGCATTTCATGTATAGTATCGATCTTTTTTATGATTATCGACAAACGAGAAAATTTAATTGATTTTTTATTTTCTATTTACAAGATGCTGGTCAAATACTCAATTTATCCATGTTCGAACAAAACGGATTATGCGGATATGTTCTAAAACCAAGTGTTTTTTGGGATAAAGAACATGCACAATATGGACGTTTTAATCCGAGTTCAATGGAACGTGAAGGTAAAAAAAATAGATCGATTATTTTAAATGAAACACAATTGTATTTTCTTTATTTTAGGTGCTTGTTTTGAATTAACATTAACTGTATGTATTTGTTAAACTTAATCTAATCGATAAACTTTCTCTAATTTACTATTTCTTTCACAGGTCATATCTGCTCAATATTTAACTCAGAATTCTGGCTCGAATACGAGTGTATATATCGAAGTAGAATTACTTGGTATACCAATCGATTGTATGTCTCGAAAAACGAAACCAAGCATTAAAAATTCGTTAAATCCAATATGGCAGGAAACATTTATCTTTCAAGTATACATATATTTTTTTGTACATCAACAGCGCTAAGTGCTAAAAACTGTTGTTTGTTTTTTATTTTATAGGTATTTTTTACTGATCTTGTATTCGTTCGATTTCATGTTTACGATGCAAGTAGTAATCATTTAGTTGCACAACGTGTAATGCCATTGAAATGTTTACGTCCCGGTTATCGTCATGTTCGACTAAGAGATATACAAAATATCCCACTTGAATTATCAACAATATTTATCTATTCAAAAATAATTGAAACAATTTTAATTCGGCCACCGGAACAAGATCATACTGTATCAAATACACCACATATGTTTCGAAATCGTTTACTACGACGAATTGAACAAGAAACAACAACAGTGGTAAGTATTGTAATATTTTGTACACGAATATTTGAATATGATAGATTCAATTTTTATTTTTAGTCGGGTCGTGAATCAATAAGACCAAAACATAAAACATTTGAAGTGAAAGTCTATGGTAAAGATGGTCGTGATGAAGAATTTAGAATATTTGCTGTAACACAATATACAACTGTTGAAGAACTATTGGAATTGGTAATTATATTTAAAATTTCTTTTAAATGAAGTTTAAACATAATGCTTTGTAGATTTCCAAGTGTACAGAATTTTTTAAAGTTGGTGATACAATAAGTGATTTTACACTAATTGAATCATCAAAAACATGGAAGAAAAAATCAAAAGACACTCATCAACGTGTATTAGGTGAACATGAACGTATATTAGAAGTGATTGATCGAGTTGGTAGAGAAACAATTATTTTATGTAAAAGAAAGTCAACAGTTCAAGTAAGTATGACAAAGTAAATAATTAACTCTCACAATTCTGCTCTATTCTGTCTTAATATTTATAGAAACAATCATTTGCAACATTAATCGATCAAAATATTCAAAATTGGGAAAATTGTGATAGAACATTTTTGGTAACAATTTACAATATTTCACCATTACAAAAACATACCACTTTTAGAACGCCGGTATCATCAACAGCCATTCATGTGATTACACAGGTATAATTTTTGCACTTATTTATATAAGTATATATATATACGGTATGTACTTTTTATCATAAAACTCTAATGACTTATTTAGTTAATGACAAAAACTCGTAGTATGCCCGGTCTACCACAAGATTATGGTTTAATCGAAGAAACAGATTTAAATGCAAATGCAAAATTAACAACAAACAATCCTACACGTCGAATTCCATTGAAACGAAGATTATTAAATGATGATGAAAAAATTTATGGTATACAAAGATTGTGGAATTCTGGTCATTCAAGATTTGTCCTATGTAAAAAAACAGAGGTAATCAATACATTTATAATATCATTAAAAATGATATGATTAATTTTTTATTTATTTATTTCTATAGTATTCTGCTGAAACAAATAATAATCGACCATTTACAGATAAATTTCTTATGAGATCATTGACGAGACAAAAATCAATGGATTGCGATTCGCATGAAGGTTTATTTTGTTTTTAGTTCAGTCAACTGGTGAACATTGTTAATATTCTTCTTTTTTTTAGATCTTCATTTAGAGCATCAACATTCAACTCCAACGCAATCAACTTTACCTAATGGAGCTATTTCAAGTAAAATTTCGTTGAAAAAACGTTCTATCAAAAATATGTTATCAGTTAAATCTTAATATATGTTTTAATTAAACTAGACAAAAGTCAGTTATCTAAATTATCCATTTTTAAATGATTTAAGTTCTAGTCTTCCATATATACTGGCTTGTTCAGAAACATATGTTAGAACATAAAAGACCATAGTATGTTGCTTGTTCTTTAATTTGAATTTATCACAAAAAATACTGAAAACTGCGAACAACAAATAAAAAATACAGAATGCTTAAATGCATAGCATTAAAATCTAATTTATTGCCTTATGTATTTTATATTGATGCGCGTTTTTCTTCTTGTTAACTCTTCTTTCTAACTTGGACATCACGCACACTGTTATTCTCTATTTATTTTTTGTTAAATCTCCTGTTTGTTGGTTTTTTGATAAAGTTAGGTGACTTTTACTACTACTGTACATGCGTGTGTGTGTGTGTGTGTGTGTGTGTGTGCGTGTGTGTGTGTGTTTTTTTTTTTATTATCCGAGTAATTCATTATTGGTCTAGTTGTTATGATTCTTTTTTAATCTGTGTAAATAACGGCCAGAATGATATTAATCTGTTGTTTGTTTTTTTAACTATTATTTTTTGCCACATGAAAAGAGATTAATAAATGCAAAAATACATACTAAAATTCGGTTTGATTATACTTGAATTAACTTTACAACATTGAAAAGATTATATTAGATTTCAGATCAGTTTACAGTTTAAAGCATTTTTCAAGCAAAGACAACCAAGTCTAAATCCTAGACTTTCAAATAAATAATTTTGTTCAAATTTTTTCTTATAAAAATAAAAATCATACTATAACATTATTGTTTTCAATAATTTACAGAAATAAGCGAGAGACCAACGTGATATACATAAAGGCACAATGTCGGAATAACGTAGAATATAGGTAAAGGAAAAGCAGCAAGGAATAAAAGTTAATTCATATTATTTTCGACCATTGGTTGTTGTAGGTGGTTGTCGACTAACACCGCCTTTAACTCGCTCTAGTTTCTCGGACAAATCTTCCACTCGAACATCTTTTAAATGTAATAAATGTTCAAGTCTACGTATTTTTGCTTGCAAAATCTTGAAAAAATTAGAAAAAAAGACAGTGAATAAAATTCACTTTCAAATTGATATTTAGGTTTTTACTTGTATTTGTTCATCTTTTGCCATACATTCTTGTTCTTTTTCATCAAATTCAATTCGGCTTACAACATCGGCACTAAGATTATGCATTGAAGTCGGTTTTTTACCTGGTCTGTAAACAAACGAAAATATATTAAAAACATTGAAAAACTAACTGAAAAAGAAACGATTTACCCTTGTGGTTTTGGTCGCGGTGGTCCACTTCCTATAATTAGAAGAAAAGCAATTTTATTCGCAATCATAAATTAAAAATTCAGAAGAAACAAGATAGTATAATAAGATAACGCTGGTGATAGCTTTGTAAGAAATTAGAACAATTAGAAATTTTGCAAAAGTAAACATAAGATTGGAATATAGCAAGCTCCAAAATTATTTTGAAATACCTTCGTCATTGATTTTCAAGCATCGTGACAAAATAAAATGAAAAAGCAACGAAGTGAATTGTGTTGTGTACAAAATATATGTCGTTGAGAAAAGAATTTAAAAGTACTTGCTGAAATATGTAGTATGAAAAGAAAATATTTTGATAACTCACTTGCATATTGTGAAATAGTTTGATTCGCATCTGAACGTTCATCTGTTTCTGGTGGTGTATAATTTTGTCTCGGTGTCATCATAGCATTTGCTTGTTCGCTTGTTTTGGATTTTTGATGTAAAATTCTAATAAGAATAAGAAAGATTATATTCAACTTGAAAATGATGCTTAGAGATGGTCAAAAAAAGTGCGAAACATCCACACCACACTGTGAACACATACAAACAAAAGAAAACTCTGGAGCAGTTAAAAAATAAAAAAATCACCTGAAAACATAACAATGGTCACACAGAGGAGAAATGATAAAAACAACATAGGGTTAGTAACAAGCAGAACCCATAGGAAATTTCACAATTTGATACAGCCACTCTTTTGTAGTTTGCTAAAAGTTTTCACATATTTAGGAAGAGAACCTAGTTAAGAGCACCGTCCCGAGAAACTTTTTAATTATTTCACTAATTTTTGGTTACTATTTGAACAATCGATTGATTCGTTCACCTGATGATCGAGGCTAGTATGAGCCGATCTTCTAGTAGAAATTCACTAGTGTGGTACTATCTCTTTAAATATAGTTCACTCTACTGTTTTCTGAATAAATCTTGATAGGAATAAGATAGAGGTTTGCATTCTTGAGTAGTATGGATTGATTCTGCTGATTTTTGACTAAGTTTTTTAATTTTTGCTGAAAACAGTCATTAATGGATTATTGCCCTTACTATAGATTTTTACTAGGTTCTTGAATTTTCTTCTAAAACAAGCATTGCCGCGAGACTTAGTATAGTCGAAAACTTATGTTTCGAGTTGTTTTTAAGGTTATCAAAGTTAACCGGACTGAGATAGGTACGTCTCAGAAAAATGCCTGCTATCCGGAAACCATAGAAGCTAGAGAAGTCGGACTTTTGCGAACCAATAGAGAACACCCTAGGCTGTATACTTAGTGTTTTAAATGTAGAGGTCTCTAGAGGAAACCAAATAGCATCAGCCACTTTAGTTTCCATAGGTACTTCCCCTCAGATTTTCTCTACACAATGATGAAAACCATAAGTATCTATCTCGTTTCTATCAAAAGTTATTCAAATAACAATGGAGTGTACTATATTTTTAAATAGATAATAGAAACTTTAAAAAACTTTGAAAATCCGTGATTTTTTATATATTTTGTAATTTGATAAAATAAAACGGTGAATATCTCCCGCGGACGATATTCTCCACTAGGCAAAAGGAGAGGACTAAAGCACAGATTCGCACGCTGTTATATTGTTTAGTTCACACTATTTGATAGAGAATAAACTGAGTTACCGGTATTGTGGATCACTGGGATTTGTTTCCATACCATAAAGATAACTATGAGAGCAAATACAATGAAAGAGAATCTCCTCTAACCGACATAAAACGGTTGTCAGTGCTCCATAATTATCTACTTCTATAGTCGAATTCTAGAGAACTCATTTAAACAATAACACATTATTTGGATACAACATACTCATCGATTTTTGTTCGTAAGTTGTATAAGAATACTTCGACTAAACCACTTCTTCCTAAGCAGATTCCACGCATAACTGGCTCTGGAACATTGAGATTAAAGCGACACAGAATTTTTCTTAAAACAAGAATAACAATAAATATATTTGTTGCCGTGTACTGGTAGATGACCTAGTATATATACCTGTTCAAAAGCCCCCAATTAATTAATTTTTGTTGTGTGCTAGAGGCAGCTGCATAATTGTGAAGATCAACCCAGGATGGAAAATAATATTTAATTAATTCTGCTACCATTACTAAAAACAGAAACAGCAAAACAAATGTACTTAACGACCGTAATAATTACAACAATGCCATGTTAAAAATCGGAAATAAGGATAAATGAAGAAAAAGTACATATTATACCTCCATCTGCGAAATCTTTTTCAATACGTTTCTTGGGTCGACTCAGTGGGATTTGATCCAGCCAAGCGTATAAATCTTGAAGCAACTGATCGTCTAATTCCATATCCCATGACATTTTTGTAAAGGTTTTTTTCTAATTAACGAAATCAGAACTTAACTAACAGAAATCAGTATTAAACAATCTTGCTTTAAAAAGCAAGTTTAACTACAAAGTTGAGTAGACCAAATCTGAAAGAAGAGTATAAATAAACATGTATTAAGATAGAAATTATAACTGGAAAATATACAGACTCTCTGCAGAATCTGTGATTTGCTATCAAGGACAGACAAGGTAGAAGACAGATGCACAAAGACTTTAGATAAATGACAATCAGAGGAAACTATTTTCTAATGAAGTGCTGAAAATCTCCTTTAAGTATGCGAAGAGACAGTTCAGCTGATATAACCAGAGCCTCAATTTAAATTGAAAAATAAAGTTGCAGACACCGCTAACTCCATGTAAATGGACACTTTTGCGATATGAAAAATATTGTTTCCTTTTACTACGTGTTGCTGTCAAACGCGAAACAGAAAAAGTAAGAAAATAAGACACATCTTGGATCAATTTGCGGCAAGAAGTACAAGAAAAAAGTATCGATTTCTTAAGCCAGCCACTAGATCTTGAGACATTTCAACAAAAAATTCTCGGAGACGGTTACAAATAATAACCGTTCTGAGAACCTCAATTTCATACTAAACTCTTCTTTTTATTCATTAAATATCTGTTTTTTAGCGAAGTTCAGAGCCTTTCTCGTACTTTCTCTATTCTACAGTGAATCAATAAATTCACTAATAATATACTTTCGACACAACCGGAGATCGCATTATCATTTTCCGATGAAGTAATTAACGAAACATCAGTTTTAAACAGTTAGTAGAAAAATTTTGAAACAGTTCAATTCAAAAGATCGCCGAAGAAAAAAGCACTCCCATTCATATGCAGAAAACAATACGAATAACCAACAAACCCACGTACAAGTTCGTAACAAAGTTCCGAATAAGAAGCAATCAAAAAGATAGCACTTTTACTTAGCTTTATAATAAAAAGTTGAAAGGATTTACTTATACGTTTCAAAATACAATTTCATGTAATTAAATAGTTATTTATTGTATTCTTTTTTATCTTTTAAATACACGTTAGAGACAATACTGCATAGTATCAGCATATACAGGTATATGGTGATATAAACGACGTAATTTGGATTTATATATTTTTTCGTATGTTAAAGACGTTGCATGATTTTTATTATCAAGTCTAAAATCACGGCAGGATACAAATGCCCGCTCATCAGCGTGACTGATTGTTCACAAATAAACTCATAGGATCTCTCATATAGTGAAAACTTTAAAGATCATCTAAATAAGTACTTGGTATATCAAATTGACCTATTTGTCGAGAAAGTGTCGATAAAGATTGGCGCAAAGACTGCAGCCTAACTATCCTTTCGATTCGATAATTCCCTAAAATTTCAGTGTACATTCAATACGGCGATAGTAGCAGTTTTTGTTTTCTAAAATGGCAGAAAAATAATCTTTTTCATATTTTACTTTCCTGAGTAGCATAAAGTATGCAAAAATACAGAAGAAAATGGCACATCTGGCTTTAATTTTATCCAGCAGAAAAACCAACACTAAAAATCCGTTATTTTTCAACTTAAGATTAAAGATAACGGTCATATAAAATAAACACGAACAGAAAAATATATCTGGGATACTTGTGTTTTCAACTAAAGAAGTTGCAATCATAAAGCAGTCTCCAGAGCCATTCTTTATCTACTATGAGAAATCTCAACATAGTACCAGTGCAAGCTACAGTCAATTTCAGTTTGTTACGTTTATTTCAGTCAGGCATTAGTAGCTGGTTAAATATTTGACTCAATTATCAATATTAATGTTTGACGACTTTTTACTGCTAGCGACAGTCGTCAAGAGCTACTGTCAGTGATAAAATACTTAGAAAGTGGTTCATAATATCCATATTTGAAGGTTAATTGTACATAACCGCGACTAAGTCACGTTAAACGCTTTTCTGCATGACTAACGCACGAAAGTACCTGTAAACTATTAACAAAAAACGATTCTCCTTCAATGGTTAATAATCAATTTTATTCTGTTTAATGCAGAAATATTTATAGAACCTTCTTGTGGACTATTCCTTCTTCATGATAAAATGAGTCTAATTAAGTTACGAAGAATTTTTCTCTGTTAGTAAAGTCACATTCGTAGTGTACATCTTAAAAATGTTAAGTCGCCATATTTCCCTTCGTTACCATCGAAACATTACTCACTACTGATGTTTCTTTCTGTCCATACTTCAGCCAAATTTTTAACTTTGAAATGCAATGCCTTTGCAAATGTTGTTCATTTGCCAAAATCTATACCAGAATTTGTTAGGATCAATTGGAATCGAAATATGAACGACCGTTGATAAAGAGTTACCAAGGTTCTTGTTTTAGAAGAGTGTGAGGTTTTTGCGGAATGTATCGTTAGGATTTTTGATTTTACACTAAGCTAAAACCTTTTGCGATCACCAAGTGAAATTCATAATCGACCTTGCAATGCCACTCTACTTTATTTAGATCATCATTTAATATTGTTTTGTTTCTTGTCTATTTTCATATATTATGTACATAAAAGACGCCAATACAATGTGTCGTTGATAGAAAAACGAACAGCATGATACACAGTTCTATTTGAACAGTAAAATACAATAAAAAATGCCATCAACGATGAACAACGGTGGGCGTAACGAGAGAAAACGTCCCATATCACAACGAACCTCGTTACCACCAGCGAAACGTTTTTCCACAGTAATCAGTTCATCTAACTCATCATTGCGGCATCAAACACGATCAAACGATCAAAAATCTGAAACAACAAAAAGTACAACAACATCAAAAGAAAATAGTCGAAAACCATTATCGCCATCGTCCAATTATCTTCGTCGATCAGAACGACATGAAACTTCATCATCATCTACATATTCAAAAGACAAAACGAAATATTCATCGTCGTCCCATGATCGATATTCAAAATCAGGCTCAAAATTAGACAGTAGATCAGGTCGAGTATCTCGTCGAAGAACTTCCAGATCCTCTTCTTCATCGAGATCTCCATCTTCAGAAAGACGTGGTCGAACAATAAGAAATGCACTACCACCATCAAAAACAACATTCGAAACGAAGAAAACAGATAATGAGTTTTCTTCATTGGTGTCATCAAAAGAAATCTGTACTACTCGATCATCAACATTAAGGCCGTTGAATGATTCACAGCAACAGAAACAAACGAGCGAAATGAAGCCTATGCAGTCAGCAAAAATAGACACACCAACAACATCGGGTACATAATTTGCTTTGAGTTTATATCTCATAAAGCTTTTATTGTTTAGTTGCCAGTTTTTGTGATAGCTGGAAAACCATCTAGTAGAAAAAATGATAAAAAAGACTCTTATTCATGATAATGACCATATTTTAACTAGCTGGAAATATTTTGGGAAAACTTTGTTGAGTTTTCTGATCAAAACATCTTTTATTCCTGAGCATTGAGTGAATGTTTTTTTCAGAGCAAAGTTGGAGTTTACCCGACAGAGTGTACTCTTTGCATTTTGAGAACAATATTTAAATTTGGCAAAAAAAAGGTTTTCCAGGATTTTATGTATTCTGAAATTCTGACAAGTGTAAACTTATAGCTTTTCTTTGATTGTTTAGTTTCAAGTGAAAATAGTGGTAAAAAGATGATAGTCACTGATAAACCATATAAGAAACCGACTGTTCAACCACCATGTCAGGCACAACAATCTGTCGTAGTAAAAAAACCGCCAAGTACTGCTATAGTAGTGCCGTGTCCACCTCCACCACCACCACATCAGGCACTAACACCAAAAAAAGAAGAAACAATATCTCGTCCTATAACATTAGTCAAGCCACCAGAAATAAAAACAGAAGAGAAAAAGATTGTATCAATGCAACCGTCCGTACAACAACGAAATAGCATTAAGCTAAGCCCGTCCGAATCGAAATGTAGTAAATTTCCTGATGATAAGGACAAAACGATTTCAATTACTGTTGCTAATAAAGAGGAGAAAAATGACAATAGTAAAAGTTGCCGGAGTCTAGTTGATTATGCATGTGAAAGTGAAGATGAAAGTGATAAACATAAACAACAACGACAGGTATTTATTTGTCAGATCTAATATGCGTTATTCTTCAAATTTATTTTACTCTTTAGTCCGAAAAACGAATTGATAAACCATCCTCAACCGATTGCAACAATAATAGCGATTTATTAAAAAAGCGATCAACTGATAATGTTATTATACAGCCGCTTAATATGAATCTTGAAGATAAAAAATTAGCAAAAAAAATTAATCTAAAAGTGCTAAAATTAACTTCTCCCACATCATCATCAACAACTACAACAACAAATAACATCAAAATGTTGACCAGTGATGATGTATTTTCATCGGCATTACGTGTACCAACAAAAATTAAATTAACAAAAACAATTGAGCAACAAGAAGATAGTAACAATATAGCGGCGTTAGAACGAAAAAAATTGATATCGTATGCATTACCCGATTCACTGAATAATACAAGTTTAAACACAACGTATGAATGTGAAAAAGAAGAATGTTTATCAATAAAGAAAGATGAGAATGATCTAAAAACAGCTGAATTAGACGATTGTATATCGATTGGAAGTGATACATCATTATCGACATCTGCCACAATTCAACAAACAACTAAAACAACAATCTTACAACTAGAAGACAATAACGCGCAAATACCGTTGTCACCACCCTCGAGTATCAAATCTCCATTAACTAAACACGAATCTAGTACCCCAACACACGTTGATGAGAAATCAAATGAATCACAAGGTATTTAATGTTTTTTTAATCTAAAAGTTTTGCTAAAATTCACTTATTTGAACGTATTTCAGACTGTGCAGCGTTACTCTTTCTTATCAAAGTTCTCTTCTTTTACTCATCCCCTGATTTCTTTACAGTTGTGCTGCGTTCCTATTTCACTGTTAAAATTGTCAGAGAATTGGATAACTTCACTGGATTAATCAGCGATTCCATTTCAATTCTGATGACATGCGTCATTCATCGAACTTTATTTTCATTTTATTTGCACTCTTAATTTTTTATTATTTAGATTTAATTACATCAAGTACAGACCAAGAAACTGGGAAAATATCTTCAGTTGTTACTACTTCACCACCAATTGTAGATGATAAACCACAAGATAATTTTATGATTCCTCCAACAATGGAATTATCACCAAATTCATTATCATCATCTCCCGATCTTTCGTCGTATTCTTCTAGTGATGATGAATTCAAAGCAATAAATTCATACAAACGTCGTTATCGTTCATTATCATCATCGTTAGCCGCCTTTTTTGATTGTCGTTCGTCTTTGCCTTCAACGCCTTCAGTAAAATCGAAATCTTTAACACGTATAGAACCGCCGCTATCGTTAATAAAATTCACTGCTAAGCAAGATGAGACAGTTTGTGAGTATCAAAAACAAGAACAACAGAAACTCTTAAAAGAAAAAAAACCAAATAAAACCAAAGTCCTGAATGGAAAAGTATCTAAAACAACAAAACGACAGTATAAGAAAAAACATACTGTATCAGTGATAGAACAACAAACTCAACTGAACAAAGATACAGACGAAGAAAGATGCACGATCATTAAAGAACTGATGGATCAATTAATACAGTAAATAAAACGCATTTATACATTCTTTTGGCTAGAAAATAATTGAATAACCATATTAAGCTAAAATAAAGAGATTCTTTACTCCTATTTTTCTATTTTTGTTATTTTTATTCATCGGATGCAATATTTTGTTTTAGCTCTACGGAAATGCAAATGATAAATTCTTTATCTGGAGAAAGACTTTCTACAGTGAATGATGAAAATCAATCAGAAATGTCTCTCGACTGTTCAACTGAACCATTATCGTCAAAATTTCAACAACCTCCATTGGCGGGAAACGAGTCGTTTGAACTTTTATCAAACATAGTGAACAATACAATCAATTCTAGTGGTATGTAATTTTTCGGAAAATAATACGTTCATTTTCTCATCCTTTTCTTTCTTCTCCAGACAATGTTGAAACGACAAAATCGGCACAATGTAACAATGACTACCCAACAAAATTCCATCAAGATCATTCCATTGAATTATCACCATCGGTTCAACCGATTTCAAGCGGTAACGTTATAGTTTTACATCTGGTAGCTTCTAGACTTCTTTTCAACAGCCAAACTGAATCTTACAAATTTCTGAGAAATCCCTCCAAAATAAAGTGTAAATGGTCATACTGACTACGTCTTTTACATTTTTTTCAACTTACGAGGGAAGTGCCCCAAGTTGCAAATCGTCCATGAAACTAGGTGGACTATATATAATTGATGACGGTGATTCCAAATATGAGCATCGGAGTTGCCCTTAGACTTTTGTTGACCAGTTTTCTGAAAACTGAATCTTCAGAAAACCAGGGACCAAATTCAGAATTTTTTCTAAAACCGACCATTTTTTAGAGGACACAAAACTGTCTATGTTCTATAAGTTTTAGTTTTTCAAAACGAAAATCAACAGAGTAGGAAAATTTCCCAAAAGAGTAACTACGCTGGTTTTGATTGGAAAATGTTGTGATAGGGTACTTTACAAAAACCATAGCACCATTCAATGATGTTTTGAAAAACTAAAACTTATAGAACATAGACAGTTTTGTGTCCTCTACAAAATGGTCGATTAACGGGATAAAATTATAGTATGTTGTACATTTTTCTGTCATTCTCATTTATTCAGAGAGTTAATCTAAAGTTCTGCCAGTAATGGGTAAATGAGAAATTTCACTATTTATTGCCATGCTAATCCCTGCTTTACACGATAGTTTTTGTGCATATGTTGATATAAAGAATCGATTTCGTAGCGTAGTTACCACTTTTCCTTGTCATCCACATTCAACTATATATTTTTTTCGTTTTCTCTAGGACCTCAGCCCGTTGTTTTGACAGAAATACAACTGGATGAATTAGCCTATTTACTCCATGCTAAGTGAGTTAAATAATTAACAACTTAGTTAAAATGTTGTCTTTTGATTTTTTTCTCTCTTAAAGTGTCCATCGTAGTGATATAGAGAAAATTGGTGATACAAATAAAGTTGAAGAACGTATGAGAGATTTGTGGCGATCAATGAGTATCACGAAAAAGAAAGCTTATTATACAAGAGTTTTAAATCTTCACAAGAGACCAAATCGAGGTGTTGTTGTTGTACCAGCTGGTAAGATATTTATGATTCTTCATGTACCGTTGTAAATTGAATGCAATGATTGAGTTATCCTCATATACGGTATAACCTCGTCCTTGAATATCAAAAATCATTTGTTAAACATAATTGCTTAGTTTTAAATATTGTCCTCTAGATGAAATAGGAAATTCCACAACACCTATTTTACAACCTCCAACAGTTACGTTTTCATCATCTGCAATTACTCCGCCATTATCATCAACTCCAACACTGATGATAAATCCATTTACTTCAACACATCATTCACCATCACCATTGTTATTTCAATCAGTTTCAACTCCAATTAACCATGAATTAGAGGTATCAATGCAAAAAAATGATAAACTATCAATACAAAAACAACATACACAGGAACAATTTATTGAAATCACTCCGCCAACTGTCTATATTAGTCCTCAATTATCCAAATCAGCAATATTTAAGGACATAGTAGATGAATTAATTAAAGGCAGTAAAGGTTTAGATAAATTATGTCAGCCATCATCCGTTTTAAATTCTGTACAACAATTCATTCAATCATCGCAAGAAAAACAAATTGATACTGTGAAAAAATTAGAAAAAGATGCAGAAAAGTATGCGTTTGTTTCTGTTTTTAGTTTTGTATAGTACAACAAACTCACTGTTGATTCTCTTGCTAAGAAAAAATCTAGTGTATTATATTAATATTCTTATAGGAAATGTACAATACAATTTAATCGTGCTTTGCTGTTTTCGACCCAGCGTACGACATATTTTTTAACAAAACATTCATTGTCATCATCAGCTATTATGGAATACAAGAATGAAATTGAACGTTTAGTTAAATATTATTATTTACTTGTTTTGTGTAAGTTTTGGTTTTGTTTAAAAGTGTACAATCGTTGCATTTTTTTTCATTTTTTCCAAAGCTTTTAATTTTCGTCGACAAGAAAAAGAATTTGAAAATACACTTGGAGCATTGATGACTGGAAAAATAACGTAATAAATGATGATGCCATTGTGTACATGCGTATAGAGTCGTTTTATTTGTTCTTGTTTTAGTTTTACGGAAACATTACGCTCATCAATGATCACAGATTTATTGAGTGAATTAGCTTATAATCCATTATTATCACATGACTTCCTAAGTTCACAACCAATTGTAATTGATAGTACTGAATATTCATTGCCGTCCATACACAACATTGAATTCGAATGTGAAATAATCGAACAAATAAAAAATGATAATGCTGTTACAGCAACAATTCCACTTCTTGATCTTGATGAAGTCACTGATTTGTTATCTCGTTGTGAACGTAAGTGATTATTACGCACGTAAAAACGGAAAGCTTTCACTGAACTCTGCTCAACTGTACAAAACTAGAAATTCGTTTTTTCAGGAACATTTTCCATGGCACACTCTAATATGAATCCATGCGCTTCGTATTGTTCAGTCTGTCCACCACAACAAGCAATGTTTAATCATCAGTATCATCAACCGATTCCTCACCAACAGTATGGTAATAACATTTGTTATTTCACATCACCCTCGTTACCAACACTGAATCATCCAATAAATTACTTTGAATCACCTTACATATCAGCGTATGAACCTACACATCCGTCTTATTATAATCCATCTCCATATGCTGATGCTCAATATTCAGTAATTCAACAGTCTCAACAGCAACAACAGTATTCTTTTCAGCAGCAGCAACCATTTGATCGCTACTATGTTTCTTCTTCCGCTTCTCGTCAATCACCACACCACAACCCATTTCATCACTCTCAACAGCAGCAACAATATCATCATCAATTAGAAACAGATGCATACCGTCGGGCAGTTTCAATGAATCGAAAATATGCTTATTCAAATAATCCCCAACAAGAACAACTAGTAGGAACAACTGTAGCGTCTTCTGCTACAAGTCAAACAACAATAACTCCGGCGACACAAGTTTATGATACAAATTCCTCACGGGTAATTTCGTTTTCATAGCTACAAATATGAAGGTGATTTGGTTAAGGGAAAAGTCAGTTTTCAGAAAACAGGATTAATTATTCTTTTTCTCTATTTAGACTTAATCGTATCTTCAAACTACTACCGAAACTAGCCAATGTGTACGTGTTTATTATACAACAGTATATATCTACTTATATCTTAGCTATTCTGTATCAGAATAGTGTCTGTGTGTGTATTGTTGCTATTGTTGCTATTGTATCGGTATATCTACGTTGTGTTGTTTTTTTCTTGTTATGCTATAATCGAGTTATTTTTCTTCTTCGACAAAACAGGTGCTTTTAATGATAGAAAAAATTATTCAACTTTCTCTTTTTCGTTTTAATTTATATAGCAGCTGTACATTGTTTCGTTTTCTTTTTCTGTTTATAGTTTTGTTTATTTTTCTCTCTCTTTGTATCTTGCCAAAAGAAGCGTGTGCATCTATAATTTTTGTAATAACATAAGTATACTCTATTTTTATAAACCATCATATGAGCTGAGCTGATATTTATTGTTGTTTTGTTGAATAACCTAGATGAACGTGTGTTTTTAGATTAGAAGAAAGAAGAACAAGTATTGTGGTTTAACACCGGTGTGGCCGGTGAACAGCAAATAGAAAATAAGATCGAAAAAATATTAAAGATTGATTAACATGGCAATTTACGTCGTATTTGTATATAGCTATTTCTCTCTATTCACATGCTATTAATACCAAACAACGAATTTTCTTTCGTG